TATTTGTTTTTAAATGGAGATACTGGAGGCAGGAGGGTATAGCTCAAGTGGTAGAGCGTGTACTTAGCATGCCCGAGATCCTGGGTTCAATCCCCAGTACCTCCAGTAAAATAAATAAATAAATAAATAAATAAATAAATAAATAAACCCACCCCCCAAAAAACCTTAAAAAAAAAGGAAATAAATTGGAAGTGATACAAAAAATTTAAAATGGAGATCTTGGGGATTGAATCCAAGACCTTGTGCATGCTAAGCACACACTCTACCACTTGAGCTATACCCTCTTCCATCTTCTTTCCCTTTTAAAAATGAAGTTCTGAATTAGGACCCTGGTAAGTCAGAGGGTAAAAAAAAATCAATTGATCAGTTCCTCAGACTGTTTACATCTTCAGAGTTCGGTAGAAAATATGTCATTTGGGGTGAAACCCTAGAAGTATCTCCACAGAGCCCCAGAACTCTTCAGAAAATCAGGTAAAAGCAACTTTCTCCAAAACCCCGCCAAGAGAAGCAATGCATCTTCTTTTCTCCTGTTCCTTTGGATGCCCACTGTCCTTTAGGAAAGGCCAGGGCCAGAAGGAAGGGGAGCAGAGGCTTCCCTCTCCAGCCCCTCACTCATCTCCTTGTTTGGGTTCAGAGGATGGACAGGAGCCTAATTCTCATACCCCAAGTACCCTCCCTTTATCCCCTCCCCTCTCCTGCTCCCTCCCTCCCTCCTTCCTTCTTCCTTCTTTCCTTTCTCTTCCTTCTTTCCTCCCTCCCTATATTCGCAGCAGAAGCCTTTCAGCAAGCAAAACTTTATGTGAAAGCCCAGTATTGGATCATGTAATGGAGGCCTTGTTCTGGCTAGAGCTGATGGAACCCGTTAGTCCCACCCACTGAACTCCCACTTGTGCCCCAGAGGCCCCAGAAGTGTCTTGGAGCCTCCAAGGAACACAGTTCCACTGTGTTGAGGCATTGTCAGGTCTGGCCATCTATGAATAGATGTGTCAGCGTCCTCCTTGCATGCCTCTCGCTTTCTTCCTCATCTTCTCTCCCTTCCTGCTCCCTCTCTTTGGCCTTCTCCTGTCTCCTTTACTCCCTCCCTGGAAGAGCCCTGGGTCCCGGACTGGCACTGCTTTTCCTGCTCTGGGCGAGTGGGCACAGGCCTGATTCCAACACTGGGCAGTAATTTTGGGTCCCTGACTTGGCCAGACACTGCTTGCCAGTCATGTGAGCTGAGGCCCCGGAGCCAGGCATTCCTGCCCAGGCCTTTCAACTGTAATCAAGGCGGGGGTGGTGGCACTGACTCCAAAGGGTAGCTAGAGACATTTTGTTGTGGTCTGAGGGGACCAGGGGAGGTCAGGAACAATATCAGGTACAGACACATCCTTGGACAGAAAACCCCTCCCCTCCTGCTGAAGGGTGTGGGACCAGACAGTTGAGGCTGCTGTGGGTTGGCCTCCTGCCTAAGAGGCCAGCACCCTCTAAAGTGCCATCCTGCCATGGAACTCTCTAGAAAGGACTCAGGAAAGGGCCCTGTTCAGCCACAGATAGAAGAAGCCAGGGAAGTTAGGGGCTGGGGGCCAAGGGCTGAGCCCAAAGCCTACTCCCAGCCGGGTTCCAGTCACCTGGACTGTGGCCTTTGAGGGGCTACTATACGCCAGGCACTGGGGATATGTTTGCATACAAATAGACACAAATCCCTACCCTCATGGAGCTGATGTCCTAGTCAGGGGAGACAGATAATAAACAGAAGTGTTACGTAGACTAGACAGAGACTGAGAAAGGCAATGGAGAAAGATAAAGCAGGGAAGAGGCATAGTGAAGGGGGTGGAGGAGGATAGAAGTTTGAAGTAGGGTAGTCAGTGGTCTCACAGAGAAGGTAACACTTCAGGGAAGGACAGAAGAAAGTGAGGGAGTGACTGATGCAGGTATCCTGGGGGGAGAACATTCCAGGCAGAGGGAACTTCAAGTGCACAAGCCCTGAGGTGGTGACACCCTGTTGTCTTCGAGGAATGGCAAGGAGATGGGTCTGGCCAGACAGAGCGATGGGGAGAGAGAACGGTGGGTTATTCTAAGGGCTTGAGCTTTTTCTCTGAGGGAGATGGGAGCCGGTGCAGGATATGGAGGCCAAAGTGTGACATGATCTGACTGAACCACATTAAGACATGGTCTTGGCTGCTGAGCTGAGAATGGACTAAGGGGCAAAGGACAAAGCCAGGACGGTGACCTATGTGAGAGATGGTGGTGGCACAGACCAGGGTGAAGGGCTTCTGGATTTACTTGGAAAGTAGAGCTAACAGGACTGGATGTGGGGCTGAAAGCCCTCTGTGTGCCATGTCCTGCATCCAGGGCCCGCCCCTGCAGGAGCTCAAAGTCATAGGGGAAGGCAAGGCGGGGCCTGGATCCCACAGGGTGTCCCTGTGTGCAGAGGATTCCAGGGGGCTGTGCAGGCCCAGGGTGGGGGGAGGTTCTGACCCTGAAATGCTAAACTGGGCTAGTTTTCCCATCAAACCCATTTCCCAAACTGGCCCCCTCCTTCCCTTGGTCCTGGTCATCTCCAGGGGCTTCAGCACCCTACCTCATTCATGGTTTTCTGGAAGATAGGAGTGCAGGGTGCAGGACTAGGCCAAGCCAAGCCAGGGCTCATGAGCTTGTGGGCAGGTGTTCAGTGGACACAGGCACCCAAGCTCCGCAAGAAGAAAGGACAAAGTCTCCTGGCCGATGTCTGGTGCAGGACCCTAGCTCTATGCTTCTCAGGCCAGAGAGATACAGACAGTTCTTGAGTCAGACATTAATCTACTGATACAGGGCAGAGAGCCCATGAGTGCTGCCCACTACATACTTGTCAGTGAAGTGAATTGCTATTTCTAGAAGGTCCAGTCAACAACAAAACAACAATAGCTGTTGTTTAGCGAGTCTCTCCATCTAGAGAGTAAAGTGCTAGGCTCTTTATATGCATTATCTCATTTAAAGCCCCACCGCAGGCCAATGAGGTGCATGCTCTTAGAATACACATTTTAGAGATGAGAAGACTCAGGCTCAGAAAAGTCAAGCTCCCTCTCCAGTGCACACAGCTCAGAAGAAGCAGAACTGGCATTTGAATCCATCCAAGAGAACATGCCCATTTTGGTTAAGGGTGAGCACAGAGGCACAAAACCAAAACTCCCTGGCTGCTCCTGGTGGGGAGAAATAAAGGATGGAAACCTTTCTTACTGATGCTGTGTCCTCCCCTCTCCTCCCACACTCACCTCACCAGCTTCCCCAGATTTTTCTCTTTCCCCTTTGCTGGTTATATGGGGGTTGTAGAGGCGGGGCAAGGGGCCCTCCATCTGCCAGACCTAGAGATGCAAGGCCTGGGCCTGGGGATCCAGGTGGGGAAATGTTTTGGCTTGAAGATCCAGGGCAGAGTAGGGGATTGGAAGGGGGGTGTCCCAGGGAAAGAGGATCATGCTACAGACTTGGGCAAAGCCCCCCAAAGCTACAATGAGGGTCTGACCTGGCTCCAAACCACTGTGGTCTGGCTCCTTCTCGTTAGTAAGGAATGATGAATTTGAGAAATTACTGGAAGGATTGGGGGAAACAATGAATTTCCTCATCCACACTTGGGGCAGGTTTGAGGAGTAAGGAGGCCTTCCCAAAGGACCCGAGCCCCATCCCTCAAAATTCCTCACAAAAGCCTTATGGGGTAGGTTCTATCACTGTATTTGTTTTTCAAATGAGGAAACTGAGGCATAGGGATGTTTAGGAGCTGGCCCAAAGTCATGTCATAAGTGACAGAGTCCAGATTTGAACACAGATAATTTTGCTCCACAGTCATCTCCTTAACTCCCCTGACTCCCCCACTCAGGGGCCCGATGGGTGACTAGCTGAAGTGCTTTCTGAGTTCCTCCTCTGGTGGACAGAAGAACAGGGCAGGGCTCCAGGAAGCCCAACTCTACCACTTACTATTTATACATGGAATCCTGGAGCAAGCGATTTCATCCTTCAGAGCCTCAGTCTCCTAATCTATAAAATGGGGGCAATGGATCACTTCTGCGAGGTTGTGTATGAAAGTATCTCTTCCTTGCTCCCCAGGAACAACCCCTGGCTCAGTCTCACATTGTTGGGCCTTGACTGGGCTTGACAGTGGAGGTTGCTTTGTGAATGCCCCAGAGCTCTTGGTCCTCCTGTGGCCAACACACAGATTGGCAGGACTGGGAGATGTGAGGCTAGTGGTGATGAAGCTAGGGTCTGGCCTTGATCTCCTATCCTGATTCTGGGCTCAGATTGCTAACAGTGACTTTGCCCAACCCTTGCCCAACCCTTGCCCAACCCTGCTCTGGTCCCTGTGTCCCCTTTCTAGTGCCATGGTGACCTCTCCAGTCCCCTCAATTCCTGAAGACTGGGCTCTGCCTTGCCTTTGCTGCTCCCCTCAAAGACTAGAATTCAGCCTCTCAGCCCCACTGGGGTCCTGCCACCACGTCCTCACGTGCCTCTGGACTCCTTGCCATTGGTCAAGTCCTCCCTCTGACTACCTGTGGGACTGCAGGTCCCCCATCCAGACTAACGGCGGCCACAGCCTTTCCAAGAGCCTGTTGTGCCCAGGAAGGACCTGGTTCCTCTCCTCTCTGTAGGTAGGTAAGTCACTGCACCCAGAGAAAAAGAAATAAGGAGTTTCCTACACCCAGGGACAAAGGCTGAGTGCTTAGGCTGAGCCAGGAAAGCCTCCTGCCCACCACTGGCGTGCCCTCTGATCTTCCCGTCCTGGCCTGGGGTTGGGAGTTAAAGGTGTGTTGTTGTGGGGGTGAGTTCTGGGAGCTGCTCCTCTGCCCTGCAGCCCTGATCCAATTTGTGCCTGGCTCCAGGAGGTAGAGGTCAAATCGCAGCCATGAAGGAGCAGAAGAGAGGAGAGAAGAGGGAGGAGGAGGAAATTCGATGAGTCCGGTGGAGGAGAGCTGGGGCCAGGGCAGGCTGGGGAGGGAGGGGGAGCCGGGCCCAGGGCTATTTCTGTACAATAATACAGGGGAAGAGGGCCAAGCTGACAGGACAGTGATTAGTCTTCAGGGAGCAAAGGCGAAGACTCTGCCGGCGAGCCTGGGGTTGGAGGAGCTGGCCGGGGGCCCAGTCCGGTGGGCTGGAGCAATGATTTCAGAGGCCCGGAATCTGAGGCGAGGTGGGCCCGTGGACTAGGGAGCAGGAAAGGTGGGAGCAGGGAGAGGGGAACGAGCCATTCTCCAGGCCCCACCTCCAGCACTGGGCGGGATGGGGGAACTGGGAAGAGAGTGTGAGCTGGCCTGCCCTGGCCGGCTGTCTGCCACCACGGGGTTATCTGGCTGCTGGTGGGGGCAGAGGTTCTGCAATCCACGCTTCCTGGGCTCTGGCTTGTGGGGGAGATGTCGTGAGAAAGAGCCAGGAACACAGGCTCAGAAACCTCAGGGGAAGAGTCAAGCTTGCTTTTTCTTTCCCACGGGATTTCCAGTCATGGGGGCCTGGAGAGGAGGTGTGAGAGGTCAGGGAGCTGGGAGGGACTGCAACTCCCATTTCTGCAGCGCCGACTCTGTGCTGGGCCTCTCGCTTTCTGTTGCCACACTGATGCCTCCTGCAAATCTGGTGAGATGGGAGTGCTCTGACTTGGTTTACACTGAAGAAGCCGAGGCTCAGAAAAGTGAAGGACTTTGCCTAACATCACATAGCTAGGAAAAGGCAGGGCCATATGTGAACCCAGGTCCATCATATTCCAAAGCCCTGGCTTTGAAGACAGAATAGCAAAGTGAGGGGTTAAGAGTCTAGCCTCTCATCTATGACCGCCAGATTTCAATCTCTCCCCTGTTCCCTGCCAGCTGCATGACCTTGGGTGAGTTACTTCACCTCTCATAGCCTCAGTTTCCTCATCTGTAAAGTGGAGCTAATAATAGTACATACCTCCTAAGGTTGTTTCGAGGCTTAAAGGTGTTGATATGTGTGAAGTGTCTAGAACAACACACGGTACACAATAACTCATTTGTAAGAAGTACGATGTGAGTATTCAGCCCTGCCCTCCGTGGGCACCCTTAGAGGACGGAGTGTGAGAGAGGCGAGGAGGGAGTTGTTTGGGAGAAATACAGGACAGAGGGTCACTCCAATCCCTTTAGAACTGTAGTCCTCCCACATTTGGATAATAGTATCAGGAGTCTTCCAGTGGGGAGCCCTTGTGACCCAGCAATTCCACTTCTGGGAATTCATCCTAAGGAAATAATGGGTCAAGAGAGCAAAGATGTATGTACCAGGATGTTCATTTCCAGCCTGTTCATTATCGTGAAAAACAGGGGCTTGCATAAATGAATTATGGCATATTCATACACAGCAGCCATTAAAAACAATGATGTCACTCTTCAGGTATTGATATGGCAAGAGATTTCTGACACAGTTGTTGAGGGAATCAAAGCAGTTTGCTACGAGGCAGGTAGGAAGGGTTTGGAGAGAGGAGGTGTTGGAGAGTCTGGGTTGGGGAGGAGAACTAGTTCATATTTGACATTTGTTTACTATGAACTTTTATTCCTTTAGTAATTAAAAAAACCAGAAATGAAACTATTTCCATTTTGAAAAAAAATGGCCTCAAAGATTCAGACGCTTCCAGCTGGAAAGCGGGCATCTGCCTGAGTCCTCTGGGCGTTCAAACGAGGAGTTCCCCGGGAACGAGTGATGTCCCCACTCAGGAACAGGCCCAGTGTTTCACCCTCTCCCTATTCTCCTAGCCAAGAAATGGAGAGGAAGGGGTGCAGCAAAAGGGCCTGGTGGGAATCAGACAACCTTAGCATCTGCTGCTAAAACAAAGTTTCAAAACTAACATGACCAATCCAGGCCAACATGAACTTCCAGGTCAACTCATTTAACCATTCATTCATTCATTCGACAAAATATTTATCAAGCACTTACTATGGGCCTGGACCAAGTGAGGAAGACCTGGCGGTGAATAAAATAGACAAAAATTCTTGCTCTGATGGAGCTGGATTTTAGTGAAGGCAGACAGACAATAAACAAGACGGAGAATATAGAGTCTATGGGATGTTGATAAGTGTTCCAGAAAAAAAAATAAAACAGCAAATGAGAAGTATGAATGTGAGGTAGGTGGGGGGTTACATTTAAAACAGAGTAGTCAGGGAAGGCGTCCCTGAAAAAGTCACACTTAAGGAAACACCTCAAGAAAATGAAGGAGCAAGCCATGTGCCTAGTTGAAGGAACAGCATTCCAGGCCGAGGGAACAGCAAGAGCAACAGCCCTGGGGCTGGGGGGCGGGGGGAGGGGATTGGCGTGTTGAAGTATAGAAAAAGGCCAAGCAGGGTTATCAAAAGGGAGAGGGCAGTGGATCAATCCAAAGAGAATGAAAGCGGGCAGGGCCATGGTAGCCCGGGGAAGTCTGGATTTTACTGTGAGTGAGATGGGAACCAGTGCAGGGGCTGGTTTTCTTTTCTTTTCTATTTTAATGTAAGTACTGGGAATTGAACCCAGGGCCTCACACATGCTAAGCATGTGCTCTACCACTGAGCTGTACCACCTACACCCCAGTGCAGGATTTTAAATGGTATCACTTTGGCTGATGCTATGCCAACAGGCTGAAGGAGGAAGGGTCCCAGAGGGCAGCAGGGCCTTCTCTAAGCAAGGGCATAGCTCTGACCAGCTATGGCAGTCATCGAAATAAGAGGCGACAGTGGCCCAGCCGTGGCAGTGGAGTTGCGAGGAGTAACTGGCATTGTGGTCCCTTTCTACTCTAACAGTCTAGGTCTTGATTCTCCACCAAATCCAGAATGAGCTATGGCAAACTCTCCCCTTTAGTGAGAATAAGACACACAGTGTATCCCAGGTTCGGAATATCCTCCTTAGCCTCTTGCAGCTCCCACCTGCTCCCAGGGCCTCGCCTACTCCACCAGCAGAGGCTAAGACTATCAGCTCCAGGAAGGTACGGCCTTTTGTCTGTTTGGTTCACTGCTGTACCTCCAGAGCCTACAACAGTATCTGATACTCACTTGGCACTGAATGAATGAATGAATGAATGAATAAACAAAGAGTGTTGTGGAAGCCTAGGGGAGGGGGCAAGGAATTCAGTTGAATGGTGGAAGGAGAAGGGGGGTGAGGATGGATGGCCACATCTAGTCTGCCAGATCCCTGGAGAGTAATCCAGGACCTCAGAACAGACACGCAGTTGCAAGTGCGCCCTTTCCCTCTCAGCCTGGTTGACTAACCGTGAGTGAGAATGTTGGCCATCTCGTCGCTTGGTCATGGGACAGAAAGAAGTGGCCACCTCACCTTCCTGCTCAGGCAGGATGGCTCCAATCTTAGGAGTAGAGAAGCAAGTTGAGAGGAATATATAGAGTCAGGGTCCTGAGTGGGGAACAGGAATTAGAGACAGACAGAGTCCAAAGTCTGGGCCCATCCCAGTTCTGGAAAACCAGGAGAAACCATGTTTCATCCTGCCTCTCTGTCCTCCACTCTCTTTCTCCCTGCGCACCTGGTACAATCCTCCCCCAAGAGCCTCATGCTCATTCAACAATCTGCCTTTCCAATCTCTTTGTCCTCCCTCTTGTTGATTCTTCACCAGACCCTCCACCAGCCCTTTCATTCCTTTGAAACCCTCACTCCATTTGGTGGAAATACCCCTTAATCTTGAAACTGTCTTGAACCTCCTTCCTTAGCACCAACCGGATTTTCTACAGACACCATCACCCTCATCTCTGCTATGGAAGCCTCACTTTCCCTCCAACCCAAAAGAAGGGCAGATTGGCTGTCTCTGTCAGACCAAGGGCATGCCATTTTCCTTCTATGTTCTTCATGGGTATGCTGTGAGCCATTAATGTGATCTGGGGTAGGTCTTACCAAGACTTATCAAGCATGCTATCAATAAGAGAGATAGAAAAGTATATCTCACTCTTGTTTTATTTTGCACTCTCCTGCTCAGTGGTCATTCAGGACTTCTGGTTAAACATGGCAGATAGAATAAGTCCATTGGGTGCTGTTCCCTTCCTAAGACCCACTGAAATGACAGTAAAGGGACTTTGAAAAGACATTAAGTTAAAGGACTAAGAGAATTGCAGAGGAGACAGACAACTGCAATAAAATATTGGAAGCTGGCAAACAGATGGAAAGGACCAGAGAAAGGGCAAACCCAAGATGGCAATGGAGGAAGCCCAGAAGCAGACTGATTTGTTCCATGAAAGTCCCAGAACTGTTTGGGAATGAGATTCACCAGATACCTCTGGAAGTGGGGGTATATTGGGGCTGAAAACAAGTGGATTGGTTGAAAGTCTGTATAAGAAAAATTAGACTTCCAAATCCCTTCTTCCAGACTGGCAGAATGCCAGAGATCTACTCTTCAGAGAGGCTGGATGTGGAGATGCCAGCCTTAGCTGAAGACAGGGATACATCACCAGAGCAGGAGAATAAGATGCTAATCTATGTGCGAAACAGTGAAGCCTCCAGCAGACTCTTCCTCACTCAGCTCCAAGAACACTGGCAGCCATGACTCTATCTTCCCCTCCCGCCCCTGCAAGAGATTGGAGGCTTCCTGTTTGGGGAATCTGATATTTGGATGTTCCCTAATGAGCCCAGAGAACTCAGTCTACTGTGATCAGTTGAAAACCCTTCCATTTTGCCCATAGAACATCAATAAGCTTTTTAATTCTTCCCTCTTAAAAATGAGCTGACAGTAAGGGATCACCAGACACTTGAGAAAATCTTTTCATGTAGAAGACAGAGACCAAAACAAACAGAAAATGAGTTCAGAGAAAATTGAAACATGCAGGGGGCAGAAGAAAACTAAACATAAATGACCACAACATCTCAATGGCTGGCAAAAACAAATGACCTTTTTCTCATGTCATATATTATTTGCATGTTGACTAACGTTCTGCTCTATGTTGTCTTCACTCCAGGATCTGAGCCGGAGGATCAGCTGCTCTCTGGGGTATCATCAGGCTTATAGCAGTGAGTGAATAAAGATGGTAGAATCACACACACATTGACTCTCAGAGCTTCTGCTCAAAAGTGGGACATGTCAATTCCACTCACATTGCACTGACCAAAACAAGTAACATGACCAAATCTGATGCCAATAGTGCAGGAAGTATAATTTTTCTGCATGGAGAAGCCTGATGGGTATGGATAGCAAATGTTTTGTCAATACCAGCATCTATCAGAATT